TTCCCCTAGACCCTCATGCTCCCTGACAGTGTCGGGGCTGCCAGATCATAAGAACATAAGAGACACCAATGTTGGATCAGGCCAAAGGCCCATCCAGTCCAACACTCTGTGTCACACAGTGGCCAGAAATACCAGTGCCATCAGGAGGTCTACCAGTGGGGATCCAGAGTGCCACCAGGAGGTCCACCAGTGGGGATCCAGAGTGGGATGTATCTAACAAGTCCCCGAGAGTCTTTTCTGTGCACCTAACTGACTGTCTCTGCTTCTCCAGGTCAGCCACCTTGGCCTCAAGGGAGCAAACACGTTCCCTGAGAACCAGGAGCTCCTTGCACCGAGCACACACCCAAGACCTCTGTCCAGTGGGCAGATAGTCATACATGTGACACTCCGTGCAAAACACTGGATAGTCCCCAACCCCCTGCTTGGATTCTGGCTTCATAATTCTTATAAAACAAGTAAATATAATCCCCCGTTTAAAACCCTTTGTATTTATGTGGTTTTTCTTGTCGAGATCAAATTACTTTACGGGGAAGACAAAGAGCCTAGGGCCTTTGCTTTCTGGCTCTTCTTGGGCTTCTCACAGAGCCCCTAGTCTAAGAGTCACTTAAAAGTGCATGCCATTGTTTTATGAACATTTCTTGCCTGTGAAATTTCCTATCTCTCTGATACTTAGCAACTTGTTTGTTCATAAGCATCATATACCATATTTTCTTAGGCCGGTCATGCATATGTAGGAGACTTTTCTTTTTCCAGTACTGAGCAATTGAGATTCTGACTGCTGTCAACATACTTAACATTAAAATTCTGAATATATGTGGTGCTGATGTAGATAAGATCTCTAAAAGAGCCAGACTTGGATCTTTATAACTAGCATTTACTTGGTACTGGATTGAACATTCATGCCAATCTAACAGGGGTATAATATAGCCTATACAGCACCTTAATCCCATTCTCTTTTATCCCAGTGTTCATAGGAAATGTGTATGTTACTTTATATACCTTTCATCATTTCCATGTTGAAATAGTGACAGACAGATATCTTCCCTGTTTTTCTTTCAATGGAAATGCTGGTGTGCTCTGCCTCATAAAGGCCCCTTTGAATTTTTATAGGGCTTTCTTAATCTTGTGATTCAATAGAAACTACTTGAACAAACCTCCCTGTTCAACTGGTATATGTTTGGGCATATCACCAAAAAAATTTCTATATAAATGCAGCTTCCTCCCTCCCTTAAAAAGGGCCTGCGGATTCCTTTTTTACTAATGAGCTGAAATAACTAAGAAGGGTTGGAAGATGATTACAGTTCTTTTAGATGAAGACTCAAACCAAATCGGACGATACCATAAAGCCAATTTGGAAGGCTAAGAGGTGCCGATGACATCCGTGAAGCTTTCTTTTCTGTTACCACTATGTCTACAGAATCTCATTTGGCTCAATTATCGTATCCTGGCAGTGCCTAAACAAGTGGAATAAGACTCTGCTAGATTATTTGCAGAATATTTTGCTAGGTTCTTTGCAGATAAAATCTCTCATTAAATTCAGCAGACTCCAGTGGTTGTACGAATCAGTTAATAGAGGGGTTGAAAGGACAGTTTGTTATGCATGTATGGATAGCTTTGTATAAGGCAATAGGTGGGTTGTGGCAAAAAAACTTCAGGCTTTCCTAGATTATTCGTTTGCCCTTGACCCTTTTGATCTGGCTTGGCCTGGCTTTGGAACCAAGGTGGCACTGTTAGCTCTGGTAGATGATCTGCTATCTGCTTATGAAGATGGACTGAGGTCATGCTTTACTGCTAACTTTGTTAAAATCAGCAGCATTTGATGCTATAGTGCCATATAGTCCTTTGACATTGCCTAGCACAGCAGGTGGCCTTAAAACAGCTTCTATCCCTTCCTCTTCACTAGAATGCAGGGAGTGGTGAGGGCAAGATATAGAATTGGTCCCCTGGGAGTTGACTTGTGGGGTGCCCCAGTGGCTTCACCTCTGTCCCGTGCTGTTTCTTATCTGTGAGTAGCCATTTAGTAGAATTATCCAAGTGGTGGTGCTGGGTGTCATCATGCTTTTGGACCATTACTTGGACTCTGATCAAGTGTCTGTAGGAGAACAAGCTAAAGCTGAATCAAGACAAAATTAAGATAATGCTGGCTGGAAAGGCAGGTGTTTGGAGAAAAGTAGACTTAGCCCTATTAGCTGGTATACTGTGGTTCTGGGAATATGGATCTGAATGGCTTTCTGATGGCTCTAGGGGATTTTCCTATTGATATGGTTGGTGCTCCTGTTGGAATGAGGTAATTGACATGATCTCTCCCATGCACCCTCTCTCAAGTATTAGAGCCAAAGTGGTCCCTTGGTTTACTGAGATGTGAGCTATGAAAAGGCAAGCGAGATGGCTAGAGCAACAGTGGAGGAAGACTCAGGATGAATCTAAGACACAAGCAAATTCTCCTTTTAATTTGTACTGTATGACAGTGAGGGTGGCAGAGAAACAGAACTTTTCCACCACCATTGCATCTGCACAGTGTAGGCCAGAAGAGCTGTTCCAGGTTCTCAGGGGCCTGTTGGGATTATCTGTCATAAGAACATAAGAGAAGCCAATGTTGGATCAGGCCAATGGTCCATCCAGTCCAACACTCTATCACACAGTAGCCAAAAATACCATGTGCCATCAGGAGGTCCAGCAGTGGGGCCAGGACACTAGAAGCTCTCCCACTGTTGCCCCCCCCCCGAAGCACCAAGAATACAGTGCATCACTTGGCCCAGACTGAAAGTTCCTATCTATACCTTGTTGCTAATAGCCACTGATGGACCTCTTGAAGCCATCCATGCTTGTAGCTGCCACCACCTCCTGTGGCAGTGAATTTCATGTGTTAATCACTCTTTGGGTGAAGAAGTACTTCCTTTTATCTGTTCTAACCCGACTGCTCAGCAATTTCATTGAGTGCCCATGAGTTCTTGTATTGTGAGAAAGGGAGAAAAGTACTAATTTCTCTACCTGCTCTATCCCATGCATAATCTTATAAACCTCAATCATGTCACCCCTCAGCCGTCGTTTCTCCAAGCTAAAGAGCCCCAAGCGCTTTAACCTTTCTTCATAGGGAAAGTGTTCCAACCCTTTTATCATTCTAGTTGCCCTTTTCTGCACTTTTTCCAGTGCTACAATATCCTTTTTGAGGTGTGGTGACCAGAACTGTAAACAGTACTCCAAATGAGGTTACACCATTGATTTATACAGGGGCATTATGATACTGGCTGATTTGTTTTCAATTCCCTTCCTAATGATCCCCAGCATAGCATTGGCCCATGTTGATTACATGGGGAACCCTGTCAAACGTTTTGCTGAAATCCAGGTTAACAACATCAACAGCATTCCCTCGATCCAGTAAGCTCGTCACTCAAAGAAGGAAATGAGGTTGGTCTGGCAGGACCTGTTGGGGACAAATCCATGCTGACTTCTCCAAGTTACCAAGTTGTCTTTTAGATGCTCGCAGATCCATCCCTTTAAAATCTGTTCCAGTATCTTCCCTGGGACAGAGGTCAAACTGACTGGCCTGTAGTTTCCTGAGTCATCCCTCCTCCCTTTTTTGAAAATTGGGATAACATCTGCCCTACTCCAGTCTTGTGGCACATCTCCTATCCTCCAAGAGCTCTGGAAAATGATGGACAAAGGCTCTGCAAGCTCTCTAGAAAGTTCTTTGAGCACTCTTGGGTGCATGCCATCTGGCCCTGGGGATTTCTACTTATTCAGTGCAGCCAGGTGCTTCTCAGCTACCTGGACACCGTGCCTTGCCTACTATACCATCTCTAGATGAGTATGAGCCTCCAAGAATACCATGCCCACAGCAATAAGATATGTTAACAGTCCTAATGCTGAGGGAGGTTATGATTGTTTCAACTTGTATTTGTGTTTTTTCAATGGCAGCCCTAGTCCTTTGGCATGGGATGCATAGGGAAATGTCATGTCTGATAGTCTTTGGGGGAAGGGATATATGGCTGAATTATTTAAAAGGGCCTTTGGAAATTGACCTGCTGTTATGCTGATTGTGTGTATCTGTTGTTGGTTTCATTGTTTATGGGATTATATTTGGAAACTGTTTTGAGTATACAACAGAAGTGTATAAACATCTTCAACCATTAAATATAAATTAGTTGCAACTGTCAGATTTTAAAAACTAAGACGACTCTTCAAAGGGTCAGTATTCTGATTCTCAGATGTAAGAAAGGCGATGGGATGTCCTACAGGCCAATACCTCAGTCTTAACCCAGATTAACATACCCAGTAGTATGTCTGTGTGTCAATGAAAAGTAATGCCTTTCTTTAGTAGACATTATGTTACTTTTTACAGGTTTATTGGCCTCTGTCCCTTCCTGCATGGAAGACCTCAACAACCCAGCCATAGACCCTTCTGTGGGACAGGGAAGCAGTACTAGTACAAGTGAGTAGGAGTTGTACATAAATTACATGAATCTTTTAATGGGCACTTGAAGACCATAACTGGCTGGTTACACAAGGGGTACAGGAAGCAAGATATAACTTTTTTTTGTCTCTATTAGACTTTCTGAGAAACCCAGTGAAGTCTCTCTCTAGAAGATCTGTAAGACTAAGCAGCTAAGTTAATCAGTGAAACATTCTTTAAGCCCTTTGGCACATGTCTGGGCAGGCTTTGATGAGATATTTAAGTAGGAAAGCTGCAATTCACACCTGTTAAAGCTCATTTTTGAATGCTCAGGGTAGAAAGAGAAAGGGTAAATTCTGAAGTCTGAATCAGTACCATAAAGGGGAGTCTGGATCTAGTTTGTTCTGTGTGAGCATTGCATTGCAGTGTCTACCCACTATTGCAAATACTTGCATGTCTAGACAATAGCATTTGAATCTCTGGAGCAGGAGCTAGAAGAATGTTTTAATCTTTACCCTTTTGCAGTGCCAAGGCAGTCCCACTTGGGCCATACTTCTCCAAAACGGAAACATGAAGCTGCAGGTGAACACAGTGAAGAACTTTACAAACGAGCCAGGATAACAGCTCTACAGATCTCAGAGAATCCACACCAAGAACTTGAGAATGTGAGTCACTAGCTTACTTTTGACACTAGAACCCACTTGATTGTCCCCTCAAATAACAGACCTCTTTTGCTTGATGGTTATTTAGGTGCCGTATAATTGCACACTTTTTGCAGAAGAGTACTTCTGTAATAGTTTCTGCTTGATATCACTGTCAGATTTGCTCAGTCTTAAAGGAGTAAAGGTAAAGGTTCCCTTGCTCGAAAGCCAGTCGAGTCCGACTCTAGGGTTGCGGTGCTCATCTCCATTTCAAAGCCGAAGATCCAGCGCTGTCTGAAGATATTTCCGTGGTCATGTGGTCGGCATGACTAAACAGCAAGGCTCACGGAATGCTGTTACCTTCCCGCCGAAGTGGTACCTATTTATCTACTTGCAATTTCTTGCTTTCGAACTGCTAGGTTGGCAGGAGCTGGAACTAAAAACGGGAGCTCACTCCATCATGCGTTACCCCTGGGTCTCGAACTGCTGAACTACTGACCTTCCACAGCCTGCAGTTCAGCGTCTTAACCACTAGAGCCACCGCAGCTCCTTTTACTCCTTAAAGGAGTAAAAGCAAATATTTGTGTATGCTTCGGACACTCCCTCTGGTTTCTGTTATATCTTATTTATTTCCCCACTTTTGAGGATAAAATGAAACCAGAGAGTTTCATGCTGCCCTGAGTTCCTCTGAGAAAGGGTGGGATAAAAATGGGAGAGATTTGACTTTTTCTTGTATCTCCTCATTTGGTTCAATAGAAGTTTTCAGTACAAGTGAATTTAGACATTCTGTAATGGAAGGAAAGCAGAAGTGCCCTGTGCTGCTTTGTAGCATTCAAAATGTATTGCCAAAACGGAATATGCAGAATGAGGTGAGATGGTTCCACTTGGGATGCTGCAAAGACGAAAGGAAAGGCAAATTGCTTAAGCATCCTCTAGTAGTATCCAAAGTCAAAAATTAGAGAAGATGCTGTAAAGAAACAAAGCACAATTTTTTGCACCATCCTGGCACTTTAACCTATTGGTTCATGCATTTAAGACCATTTATGATTTTAAAGGAGAGACTGATTGACCACTAGGGTTTTTTGGTTTAAGAGACTACATTAGGAGAGGGGAACAAGGGAGGTACTTTCCATTAGAAGTCTCCTGGAGATCTTTTGACATGCTATGATTTGCTGAACTGGTCAGCAGAGGGCAGCACAATATTTTTGTTCTGAGAGGAAACCATTGGTTCCCATCCTAAAATCTATTTTATAATTAAAGAGTGTTAGATATTTAGCACCAAGGAGTTCAAGGCAATGTTTATCCCTTCTTAATCCTAACAGCACTTACAGTTAGGTTGGTTGAGAAACTGTAATTTGTCCAGAGCCTCTCAGTGAACTTCATGGGTTAGAACCAGCTTCACAAGACTTTAAATAATTCTTTAAAGTCTCACATAGTTTGACCATTCGTGAACACTGAATCCAGATCTCCCTACCTCTTACATTGTTCCAGTATCTCCTATTTGACTTGACTGTAGATTATTGGTAGAGTAAAAAAACTTAGGGAGGGGTTGTGGCTCAGTGGTAGGGCATCTGCTTGGCATTCCCAGGTTTTCTTCACTTTCTCTCCTTTTTCTTGGTCCTATTGTTCATTTTATTTAAAATATTTATACTTTGCCTTGTCTCTGTAAACTCAGAGTGGCTAACAAAACAACAAAAACACTTAAGTGTCCAGTAAATTAAAACCAATACACAATTAAACAGGAACCAGTACCTGTAATTAAAAAACAATGCAGTTAAAACTGCCAAAAACATTTTACCCTATACCAAATGCCCTCTGAAATAGAACAGACATACCTTCCTAAATGCAGCAAGTGAAGGCACCCATTGCATCCACTCTGAATCTACCCCAAAGAATGCCTGTGAGTGGACTGCTGCCAAACGACTGTCCTAGGAGAGGGTACTGTGAGGAGATGTTTATCTGAAGAGCCCTGTTGGTGCATGGGAATATACTGGAGATGCAGCTCAAGAGATATGCGAGAGCTTTAAAGGTGATAACAAACACTTTGAATTAGGTCCAGAAGCAGATAGGAAGCTAGTGCAGTTAATGCTGCACTGACGTTATATGTTCCAAGCAGCTGAATTCCAGACAGGAGTCTTGCTGCCATACTCTGCACCAGCTGAAGTTTCCAAGACATCTTCAAAGGCAGCCCTAAATACAATGTGTTATACCAGTCCAGTCTGGAGTTTACAGTAGCATGGATCAGTGTGGTTCGGTCAGCAGAGTCTAAATAGTGGTCCAACATGTGAGCTAGATGTAATTGAAAGAAGGTGCTTTTAGCTATAGTACCAATCTGTTCATCTATAATTTCTGTCCTGCCGATTTACAGGGTGTACTTCGTTGCCTCTAATCTTTTTTTTCTTGCTGATGCATATTGACTGGCTGTTTTCTCACTAGCTTATACTTAATTGTGAAAACTGTGCTGTTCTGTCTTCCTTCTGCATCTGCACCACTACTATCTTGTTTTTATTTCTTGCTCTCTGAGAATGGTACTATTCTTTCTTCTCCCCCACTGAGGAACCATGAAATCCTGTGACCCCTCTGATCTCTTGTTTTCTTTAATGTATTGAAAAAGTTTGCCCATTCGTGTTTTAAATATTGCTAAAATTTGTTTTGCCTTCACTCACTGCAAAAATAGTGGCTTACTCTCCGGTTCTCCTAGTTTAACTACTATAATTATCTTTGCTGATTTGACTGTTTCTTAACTTCACCTTCATTTCCATTCTTGATGCTGCAGCTAGTTAGATTTCCCTCCCCCCCCATTTCATTTTTTCTATACTTGTTCTTCTGTTTCCATTTCCTTATTACAACCAAACAAGGCACTATTTTTGTCATTAAATTGGCTCCCTATCAAAAAGAGAGGATATCATGCCTCCTGTCATCCTCACTGTGCCAGAACTCCCCTTTTGGTTAAACCTCGGGTTACATATTCCATTTCATGCTTCTGTCTTTTCTCCTTTTTTATTTGGAATTCGCTGCCTCCCAACAGCTGCACTTCTCCTTTCTTATACATTTTCAGAACCTACTTAAATGTATCCTGCAGGTGGGGTTTGCCAAGTAAAAGTTAAAAAGAACAAGCTCTTCCCCCCAATAGTATAAAAAGAGCAAGGATATTAGGGAAAGGGTGGTGGACAAAGAGAGGGAGAGTGAAAGCTCAGAGACTTGTCTAGCCTCTTAATTTAATCAATTGGACTCAATAAATTATTTCATAGAATCATAGAGTTGGAAGGGACCTCCAGGGTCATCTAGTCCAACCCCCTGCACAGTGTGGGAAATTCACAACTACCTTCCCCTCCCAGTGAAACCCACTCCATGCCCAGAAGATGGCAAAAAAACCCAAAAACCTTCCAGGATCCCTGGCCGAACTGGCCTGGAGAAAAAATGCTTCCTGATCCCAAAGTGGTGATCATCCTTTCCCTGGGCCTGTAAGAAAGGGCCACGAGAACTAAGCACTGATGCAACCATTCCTGCCCTCCCTCTCATGATCTGCCTAAGTTCACAGAATCAGTGCTGACAGATGGCCATCTAGCCTCTCTTTGAAAACTGGAAGGTTGAAGGAGCTCGTTAATGTTTAGCCTTGAGAGAAGACGAGTGAGAAGTGATATGATAGCCATCTTCAAGTACTTGAAGAGCTGTCATATAGAGGATGGTGTGGAGTTGTTTTCTGTTGCCCCAGAATCTGACCGGAATCAACAGACTGAAATTAAATCAGAGGAGTTTT